ATCCTAAGCTCTTTCACCTCATTGAAACCGTGATAATGTTGTGCTACACGTAGTCCTTATAGATGACCAGTTCGTTTCTTGCAACATTTTAGAATGCTTTTTTACCTTTGTCCGAAACTACAGTCACCAGAGTGCAAGTGAAACTGGAATGGCTAGGCGTGGCTTATTGGTCGTTAATAGTTGCTCGCACTTGGGATTTGAAACAGGTCTGCGCAGCTCTTCAGCTTTCCTCCATCAGTTGAGTCAGGTTCGTTCATCCTATTGATTGCCCGATGGCAATAGTTGATCCAGTCTGACTTAAGAAAGAAGTTCTGATGCCTCATAGTGCTGGCGCAGAGCCCCCAAAATCAATAAGTTAGTCAATAATGTTCAATTTGGACGACTGAGTCTGAAAATGTGGGCTATTTTGCGGTCGCCAGAGCGTCGAATCCCGACTTTGGGTCGGTAGGACTAGAACTTATAGGAAGCTGTCTAGGATTACTTGCGGACCAGGGAAATAGCAGGCTGTCTCCTAACGAAGATTAGTCCAACGCAGAAATTCAGAGGATAAAGCTAAGGGAGATTGATGTGAGTATTTCATATCTTTAGCCGTAGCTATATGCCGATGCGTGAATGGACGAGGAAAGCAGGTTCGAATACACAGGCTAGCATATATTATAGGTAGAAATACATCACCGACAAAGACAATGGAGACTTTATTTCCAGTGCACTGGAAATAAAGTTTCGCAAGCTACCTCGTCCGAATTCATCCACAATGGAGACTGAAATAACCATTTCTGGCTTATTAGCCGTCAGCAGCTAGCCAAACCCAACCCCAGGGGTGGGTACTAGCTGCTGAGCGGCTGTTGGCGGAGTTCGAAAGCGAGCTCTAGGGCGCAAGTTCCGTAACAGATCAGTGAGCGCCTATTTACCACTGTCGCGTTCATCACCTCCCAAAGGTAAGAAAGAATTTACCATTGTATATATTTCCGATGGAAACCGGCAAGACAACAAACCCTTGACGCAATGGTTAGAGCGTTAGACTTCCAATCAATATGGTCGTGGTTTCGAGCCTCAGGGGCGGCTACCCCCAAGGTTAGATACAGCTGGCTGATGACGGCTAATAAGCCAGAAATGGCCATTTCAGTCTCCCTTGCCTTTGTCGGTAATGGATTTGTGTCTATAATCTATCATCCTCGATCGGCTGTTGGTTGGGCCACACACGTTAGCAAAAGCGTCCCATGTGCTCGATGCTGCAGTACAGGCGTGTCTTCTTCGGTCAGCATGGCCTGCTGTAGCACCCGTGGTTGCGTATTCGTCTTCTTGTATGCCTTGACTCAACGCAGTTTCCGCTCTCCATAAAAGCCCTTATGGATCTGGTTTACATTTACAGTAGGTGCACATTCTCATGAAAAACGTTTGAAAACGTAATGAATGTCA